TCTGATTGTCTTCGAGTTCTTTAATGCTTTTATCTTTTTTCTTGTCTGTTTGTATTATTCCTCACATGGTGGGGAAAGAGAGCTCTAATCTCTTCCTCTCCTTATAAGGGCACCAATCCCATCGTGGGGGCTCCACCCTCATGACCTCATTCACATGGTGGGGAAAGAGAGCTCTAGTCTCTTCCTCTCCTTATAAGGGCACCAATCCCATCGTGGGGGCTCCACCCTCATGACCTCATCTAAATCTAATTATCCTCTACAGGTCTCCACCCCCAGATACAATCACATTGGGGATTAGGGCTTTAACATATGGATTTTGGGGGGACACAAAACATTTAGTCCATAGCACTGAGTGACCTCACAGATCACCTGCCCATGAAGCCAGCTCTGGTAACCTGTCACATGCTGTTCTACCTTGCTTTTTCTGCCTGTATAATATAGGTCTTGAAAGTTACCCCTTAGGGTCATGTTGGCAGGTTATATTGATTTATATGCCTAACAGGTAACAGAGCGCTTCTTTCCCCACACCTCCACTAACAGCATATTACTAACCTTTTTGCTCTTGCAGTTTACTGTATGAAAAATGGTACTTGTGTTTTGTTTTCACGTGTGGAGCATGTTTTCATATACTTAAGGCCAATTGGATTGCCTTTTCTAAGAATTACTATTTTATATCTTTTGTCTATTTTACTTTTCATGTTTAAATCTTTGATTCATTGGGGATTTATTTTGGCGTAGGATGTGAGGTAGGGATCTAATTTCATTCCCCCCCCTGCCAATTGACTATTAACTCTAATTATTGAGTAATTTTTTTTCACCGATTTGAAATATCACCTTTGTATGCACAGTCCTGCCTAGTTCTCTCTTAATTTGGGGGATATTTTTGGATTTTTTATTCTGTTCCATTGGTTTGTGTTTTCATATACAGTATTTAATGTTAATATTTAAATTTTAGATAAGGATTTTAAAAATTATGTGTTTAATATCTGATAAAGCTAGCTCTGACTTGTTATTCTCTGTATGTTCCTAGCTATTCTTATTTTTTTTTCCCTTATGAAGTTTAGGATCAGCTTGTTTAGTATCAAAGCAACAATGTCGATATTTTTATTGAGTTTGCATTACATAATGATTAACGATGGGAGCTTTGATATTTTATGATGAGTCTTCCAAACCAAGAATATTGTTGTAGGTTAGATTGTTGTTTAGCAAATGTCTTCTCCACCCCACTTGCTTCCATGGAAGAAATGTATTTTTCACCCTTTTATTAAGAGGCTTGATCGTCTGACTTGCTTTGGCCAGAGGGATGTAGTGGACGTGATCCAAGCACAAGCTAAGCAGTTTGGCCACCCTCTTGTCTGCCTTACTTTCGTTATGAGAAGAACATGCCTCAGTTAGCTCTGGCCCAAGGATAAAGCATGCATGAGCCCAGCCCTCAGCTTTGCCAAACTGCAGGTGAATGAGTGAGAAATAATTGCATATTATTTTATGCTGCAGAGTTTTGGGGGTGGTTTCTTATGCAGTGTTATTGTAGCAATAGCTAACTGATACAAACATGAATTCCTTTCCACATGTTTGCCTTCTTTTGTGTTCCTCTGTGGCATTTAAATATTTTCTTTAGACATTTTACAGATTTATTCCTAGTCCTTATTATTTTGCTTTATTTTTCTCTAGCTTTTGGTGAAGTTGAACATCTTACTGATTTTTGGTAATTTGACCATTCAGCTTATTATATTGCCTTATCATATCCTTTGACTATTTAACTATTGGATGTCTTTTTGTCACTTTGTGACAAAAAGGAATTCTTTGTGTGTGATTAGGGATATTATTCCTTTGTGAAGGCTCAGGTTGGGAATCTGATTCGGGTCCACCTGATTTTAAAGCTCACGTTCTTAATTCGTGACCATTGGGACAAAGATGAAACAGGTAATGTGCAGTATTTAGTTTTGCTTGCACAGTGTTTTTTAAAAATGGGATTAAAAATGTATAAGATTTCATATAAATCTTTTCTCCTGGCTTCTCTTATAAAAAGCAGGAGATTTGACAGTGCTAGGTCTATGTTCCAGTCTGGCAGCAATCAGTCTGGGACAACTGAGCTGAGCTGCATCCTTTAGGTCCTGGGATCTGCTCTCTCCACTTCCACTTTCACTCACTCGTATGTCTCCTGCCTGACCTCCTGTGGTAGTCATCAGGGTTGATCATAGGTGGTTGGTCATCACCCTTTGGGCACTTGCACGGTGGAATGGACTCTAGCCTTCTTTGAAGGTAGGAGTGGCAATGTGGCCTGCTTTAGCTAATACAACATAAACTGTCATTTCCAGGCAGAAGCTTTGGGTCCTTGTGCCACAGTGATCTTGGAGGCCATGTGTTGAGAAGGAGCCTCCTTCAGCCTTAGAGACAAGAATGAGCCGAACCCCTCCGGTCACCCGTGTTGGACCCGTAGTATGAGCAAGAAATAATCTTGTGTTGAGTGTTAACTTCACCTCTGAGGTTTAGTGTTTTAGAATAACCTAGCCTGTCAGTTTGCAGAGTGTGGTCTGTGGACCCCTAAGGGTCCCTTTCAGGGGATTTGCAAGGTCAGAATTATTTTCAAAATAATACTAAAATGTTATTTGCTTTTTTGCTGTGTTGACACTTTCACTGATGGTGCAAAAGTAATGGTGGGTAAAACTGGTACCTTAGAACCAACCAAAGCAGTGATGCCAGATTGTGCTAGTAGTCACTGTATTCTTCACTGCCATACTTGTAGTTCAAAAAAAAAAAAAAAAAACCAGAAAAAAACCCTTACTCATTTCACGTAAGAATGCAGCTGTGAAAATTACTAATTTTGCCAAATCTTGATCCTTGACTACATATCTTTTCTGCATGATGAAATGGGAAATATACATAACAAGCACTTTTCTTCATACTAAAATGTGATGGTTGTCTGGAGGAAGAACTCTTGGCAGTGAAGCTGCAAGCTAAACTAGCCACTTTTTCATAGAACACTATTTTCACATGAAAGAACTACTGATAAATCAGTTATTCAGATTTGGGTATTTGGTAGATATTTTCTTGAAAATGAATGAAGTGAGCCTGTTCACAAAAAAACATCTGATATTATTTGTTGCCAACGATAAAAATTTAAGCTTTCAAGTGAAAATTAGAATTTTGGAAAATATGAATCTGCTACCCTGAGCTTGATAACTTCCCAACACCCAAAGATTAGATCACTGGTGATATTAACAAATGTGATTTTTTTGATATTATGTAGAGAAAATGTGTCAACATTTGGAAAAATCTGCATAAGGTCTGTTCACAGTGCAAGACAGACTTGTGGATTTTATTTAACAGTGTATGAAAAATTCATTGATGTGGTTTCAGATTCCATATTGTGCTGAACTGGGTTTTTTTTTTTTTTTTTTTTGGTAACAGTTTTATTGAGATATGAACTCCATAAAATACATGCCATACAACTCACCGGTTTAAGGTGTAGAACTCTGGTTTTTAGTATATTGACAGTTTGGTAGCCATCACCACAGTCTTATTTTAGGACATTTCCACCACCTTCCCTACCCCTGCCCCTCAGCAGGAAGCAATCACTAATCAACTTTCAGTTTCTGTAGATTTGCCTATTCTGGATATTTGATATAAATGGAATCTTATATGTGGTCTTTTGTGACTGGCTTTTTCATTTAGCATAGTGTTTTCAAGGTTCATCCATGTTGTAACAGGTATCAGTACTTCATTGTTATGTCTGAATAATATTCCATTGTATGCATCTATCACATTTTGTTTAGCCATTCATTGTTGATGGACATTTGGGTTGTTCCCGTCTTTTGATTATTATGAACAATGCTATTATGAACATTCGGGTACAAGTTTTTGTTTGGACGTATGTTTTCATTTGTCTCGAGTATGTACCTAGGAGTGGAATTTCTGGGTCAGATGGTAACTTTTATGTTCAACTTTGTGAGAAACTGCAGGGCTGTTTTCCAAAGTGGCCACACTATTTGCAATGAACTTTGAAGAAATTATACTTGTCAAGTTTTGGTGTAGTATTTGTCAAGTATGCAATAGTATTATCCATGATTATCTGCAAAAGCTATCATAATACTCCTTCCCTTTCCAACTACACATCTGTGTGAGGTAGATTTTCTTCATATACTTTAACCCAAACAACATATTGAACAGATTGAATGTAGAGGTAGTTGTGAGAATCCAGCTGTCTTCCATTAAGCCAGACATTAAAAAATATTTGCAGAAATATAAAAATATTGTCCCTCTTCTCACTAATATTTTTGAAAAACTATTTTTTCACAAAAATATGCTAATGTGTAATGAGTTCATTATTATTTTAAATGAATAAATACTTGATTTTAAATGATATTTTAAGAATTTATGTTTTAATTTTTATCTATTTATCTTTTTGTCTGCTAGCTGATATGGGGATCCAAACCTTTGACCTCAGTGTTATAAAGCTGTCCTTGTCTTAATTTTTAATATGGTAAATATCCATAACCCAAACTCACATAAACCCACATGTTGGGTGGGTTCCTCAATAATTTTTAAGTGTAAAGGGTGCAGGGACCAGCACCTTGAGGCTGTCCCAGGAGCACTGGAGCCTTCTGCTCTTGCTCTGCTCTGGCCCCAGTCTAGGTCATCTGCCACTCACTGGCCGCATTCCTGGAGGTGAGTATGCTTCCTTTGGCCTAGCCTCAGGTTCTGCATCTGTAAAGTGGAAACGGTGAGGTGGACTGTTTGGAGGGGTGTGGGGGGTGTTTATCGTTAATTGAGGACAGGCCATGGCAACTTTAAGGCTCCATGTGATCCTTACTGCTTCAGGGAGACTATGAACTCATGGAGCAGATGTGAAAGCTTTTTGCCTAGAGAATAGTTGATTATCCTCTGCTGCTTTGAATTCCTCTTTTCTTTGGTTTTCCTGTTAATTAATGCTTTGGGGGATAATTTAAATTGTAGAGATGGGAATACAGTACATTAGTGACAATGGTGGGGATGCCATTGGGGGAGAGTCTTGGGATTGTTGAGTGGTTCCAGGTGACCTGGGCACATTTCCTTAGGAGCTGTTTAGTGACCACCCACTGTGTACTAGGTGCTGGTCTGCTGGCCGTGGTCAAGAGTGTGTAGCAAAGCAGGTAAAGTCTCTACTCTCCAAGACACGGGGAGTAAGGAGGAGAGAGTGAAAGTAAGCAAAATGATTTCGGGTTAATGATTTATGATATGAAGAAAACAAGACAGGACAACATGCTAGAGTGGCAGGGTGCACCTAACTTGGTGAGGCATTTGGCTTGAGATTAAAGAAATTCCAGTCTTGGAGTCAGAAGTGTCCATAGTGCTCCTCTGGTGGAGCTAACTGTTCTCACACTGTTCAAGTGGTGCAGCTCTTTAAAGTCTCAGGGCTATTTGCATAACTCCTTGAAAATATATTAACATCTTCAGCCTTAAAGTAGTTAAGTATGTAAATTGGTGCCAAGTTAGATAAATGTCTCAAGTTAAGTGTAATAAATCATAAGAAAGAATTGCTAATCTGTTTTTTTTGTTTTGTTTTTTGCTGATTACCAAGATACATATATTTTCTAGAAAGTTTGCACAACACTGCACAGGGGCGAGGAGGGGAACAGTTACCCATAATCTCACCACCTAGAGGGCTGTACTTTTTACATTTGGGCATATTTTCTTCCTGTTATTTTTCATACTATTTTTTTGTTCATATAATTGAGGCATACTATTTCTTCACTTAACATATAAGCATTTCTCCCATCCTTTAAAGTGCTTTGTAAGAATAATTTTTCATAACTAAAATTCTCCATTATCAGACTGCATTGAGCCATTCCTGAAATATTAGACATTTGGCTTATAAGCAAATCTGTAATGATAACAATGCCTTAGGTTTAATTGCTTTACTACTTACATGGGACATTTATCTCATTTGACCCTTATGGTAACCCTTGAAAAATATACTGCGCAGTTGTTAATATACTAACCTTTTTAAATCAGAGGCAAAGTAACATACATTAGCAATAAAATCATTCCTATAGCTCTTTACAATTATGAAGAAAGTTCTCATGTATTATTTGCTCCTTTTTGTCCCCTCTCTTTTCTTTGTACCCTAGTGTCCCCTGTGTGCACATCTGTCATGGCAGTTGATTGCACTGATTATTTATATGCATACCTCTATCAACAGCTCTGGAGGCTATTTGAGAATAGAGAACCTGACTACCTTTGTCTCTGTATCCTTAGCATTTTATAAAAATTCAGCATCTTTGAATGAATCTTGACCCAAAAAACCCATATACATTATATATATGTGAGGAAAAGCTTAAAGTTGAGACAAACTAATAAGATAAGTGGAGCAGTTTGGGAAAAGTTTAAAACCCCCTATCCCTTGAAGGAATGCCTTCAGTGCCCCTTCAACACACCCTTTGCAAGACTGGGCCTTCAGAAAAGCAGCATGTGCTAATTCATTACATTTGCTGTTATGTCATCTGCTCACTTTTACTCACACAATCCTTTTGGCAAAGTCTTGAATATTCATGTTAAACAAGTTCAAGTGCTGTGAGAATTGCTTTCCTGTTTACCAGGAACATGGTTATGTGGCAGAGATCCTTCTGGGATGCACTTGTCCGTGAATTCCTGTTTTCTTTCAGGAAGAATAACAGGATAGCTTGGGAGTAACGTTAAGAGCACTTTTAACCTTGTAAGATCTAGTTTACTGCACTTTGACCAGCCTCTTAATAGTTTTTATGGCTATTAATTTATCTAGGGTAGCATTTGCAGCTCAGTTTAGTTTGCACATAGCTTGATTATGCAGTTAACTGATATGGTCCCAGTGGAGCAGAGGAGTATGAATTTGCAGGTAGTTAAGCAGTATGCACCTAAGTGATTTGTCCCATATTCCCAAGGCTCCTGCACTTAGCTCCTCTTCTTGCACTAACCAAGGAATACAGATGTTGTTTTTGTATAACCCATCCTTCTCTGGCTAGTGCCAGTTCGTTCTTTTCAAAGAAACAAAAGGGAGTGGCAGAATAGAAATTGAAGTCACCTCAAAGGACTATTTTACACCTAGTAAACTGGAGAACAAATTTCAGTACTGGTAGGGTTGTGGTGAAATTGTAAACGCTGTTATTTAAATGCGGGTAAATTATAAATGGTAGATGTAACTTTTGGGAAGTTATTTGGCACTCTATAGTATTTACTACTACAAATAATTCAAGAGAATATGTAAGTCCACATTTTCATTGTAGTGGTATCTATAATAACAAAAACCTGGGCCTAATGTTGATCTATAGAGGATGTGTTTACTAAATTATGGCACATCAACATGATGGATTATTATATAGCCTTGAAAATGTGATTATCAAGATAATGTAGGTACTTGGAAATGTTTTACTATCCAATTAGTGTCAAGAAGAGCTGAATGCAAAGAATCCTAATGTGTAGTATGTATGCCAGAGTCACAGGCTAGAAGTTAATATGCAAAAACAAATAAGAGTTTTATTTAAGTGATGGGATTATGGGTAGTTTTTGTCTTTAATGTTGGTAATCATGTTTTTTTTTTAAATAAACTTTTTATTTTGGAATAATTATAGATTTATTCAAGTTGCAATGATGTACAGAGTTCCTGTAGAACCTTCATTTAGTTTCTCCTATTGTTAGTGATAATCATTTTTTTTTTTTTCCATTTTGTCTCTTTTTTTGTGACCGGCAACGGATCGCAACCCTCAGTGTCGCGCCCATACCAGACTGGGTCCGGCAACGGGATCGCAACCCTCGGTGTTGCCCCTGCACCTCGCTCTGCCAGTGAGCGGCTGGTCTGTATGTGGGATCCGAACCCTCGGCGGGAGCGCCGGCACACTCCCAAGCAGCTCACTGTAGCAGTGCGCCACCGGGCCGGCCCCGATATTCATGTTTTTAATAACATTTTCGTCATTTTATTTTAAGTTAAAAATATTCCAGAGATGATTAAGGGTAATTTTAATAATCACCTATGTTCCTCCCCGGTTAATAGTCTGTAGTATATCTTTCCATACCTTTATCTCAGCTCTTACAAATCTATATGTGTATATTATTATAATGATTATTATAATATAATGTGTGATAATATGCACATTATTCTGCAACTTGCTTTTTCTTTGAATAATACAGTGTGGACATTCAGTGGTCTGCAACCCTATCATCCTATCATCTGGGTACTTTAAAAATGCTGATTCCGGGTGGTGGCGCTCCTGCCGAGGGTTCGGATCCCACATACAGACNGATCCGTTGCCGGTCACGAAAAAAGACAAAAAGGAAAAAAAAAATTAAAAAAAAATAAAAATAAAAATAAAAAAATAAAAATGCTGATTCCTAGGTCTCATCCACAGAGATTTTTCCTCAGTCTGGAGGTGAGCTCAGAATCAGAATTTATTTTAAGTTCCCTATGTAATCAAATGTGCAAATCGGATTTAAGAACCACTCCTGTAGATAAATAGATATTAATTGTATCTACGTTTGGTTATAATAGTATGGCTATACCAGTATTCAGTCATTTCTGTTGTTGGGTTTCCAGATTTTTTTCTGCCATTTAAACAATGCTGTAGTAAACATCCCTGTGCATCCTTATACATTGATGTTTTCTATAGGATGGGCCTCAAAAAAGAGTTTGCTGGGCCAAAATGTGTGTGGATATGTGTATTTTAAATATTAATAAGTCTTCCCAGTTTACATTCCTAAAGAAATCTTAGTAACTATAAAGATCTTTTCCATTTTTAAAAAAGTATGTAAGCTTTGGCATCAAAATTTTAAGGTTATTCCCTTTTGCTTAAAAAGTGACATATTGACAGATCGTTCTTAATGGTAAAAGTCATAGAATTCTACTAGAATGGCAGAGTGCTTAAAGGACATAAAAAGCCTTTGGGAGGGAGTCTTTTATAATTGTTTTGTTTTCCAGTGTAAATTGAAGCATTCAGAAGATGGCTGTCTCATGCTTGGCTTATTTCTGGCACTTGGGCACTTTCTTCCTTAGTTTCTTTAATAGTGTAGAAAAGGCAGTTTTGGAAGCTCAACTACTGCCTGGCATGGCTTCAGGGCAAGAGAAATGGTCTGAACGCTTGCCTCCAGGGCAACTTCCTGTTACACGTCTAGGTAAAGTGCTGGCTGGCCAGGATGTCTTCTGTAAAGAAACATGTTAATAAGGGTTGCATACTCCATATTCTTTCATAGAAGAAATCTGCGAGTTGACATGCTTCATCTTGCCTAACATCATCCTTCTGGTTCAGTTTTCCTGTACATGTATTACGTAAGTAAATGAAAGGGACCTTATGTGTCCAGCTGAGATGGCAGTCACGAAAAAGTTTCCTCTTCTATTTTTAAAAGTGCATTCAGGGCCGGCCCGGTGACGCACTGGATAAGTGCGCCGCTTGGGAAGCACGGCAGCGCTCCCGCCCGAGGGTTCGGATCCCACATACAGACCGGTTCCCGCTCACTGGCTGAGCGAGGCGCGGGAGCAACACCGAGGGTTGCAATCCCGTTGCCGGTCCCCGGTCCAGTACGGGGGCAACACTGAGGGTTGCGATCCGTTGCCGGACACGGAAAAAGACAAAAGACAAAAAAAAAAAAAGTGCATTCAAATTTTACATTCTCGGGCTGGCCCGGTGGCGCACTGCTACAGTGCGCCGCTTGGGAGCACGGTGGTGCTCCCTCCGAGGGTTCGGATCCCACATACAGACCGGTTCCCGCTCACTGGCTGAGCGAGGTGTGGGAGCAACACCGAGGGTTGCGATCCCGTTGCCGGTCCCGGTCTGGTACGGGCGTGACACTGAGGGTTGCAATCCGTTGCCGGACACGAAAAAAGACAAAAAAAGGGGAAAAAAAAATTTTTACATTCTGTTCCACAATGTATTTGTATTAACATAAAAAATATTTTAAGTGATTTGTCATCAGAAAGAAATTCTAAGCTTTTCCCCTTCAAACTTGTTAATAATTTAACACTTTTATACACATTTGATAGTTGCACGTCATCCAGGGGTTGTGCATGTTAAATATTTCAGTTTTGAAGCATAGGCCTAAGTTATTTTATCACTTTTTCCTAAAGGTTCTTTTTATGATTTTGGCTCAGTGCAGATTCCTATAGTGCAACCTTTTTTGTAGTCTTTCTGTCCTCTTGCTGTAGTTTCTTTGAAAAATTGGTGAAATTGCAAGAAAAGATACATATACCTTCTTTATGGTCTCTTTGTAGGAAGAGAGGGCAGTGAGAGATCGGAATCTCCTCCAGGTTCAAGACCATGATCAACCCATTCTGTGGAAAGTGCAGTTTAATCTGGGCAATAGCAGTCGGCCAAGCAATCAGTGCCGTAATTCCATTCAAGGGAAGCACCTCATCACAGATGAACTGGGTAAGGCTGAATTCCTGGTGGGGCCATTCGTAGGGTTTTTCTTTTAATACGGATTCCTCTACAGTGCGTTTTCCCTTCTTGCTCATTTCCAACATTTCTCACATCTTCTTTGTCCTTCTTACCCTACTTACCATTTAAGGTTCCCTACAACATCAGAGAAGCTAGTTTGATAACTCTAACTCTTAAAAGCTCCTGTGCCTGAAACTTACAGTGTTAGCATTTTGTCATGCATCAGCCCCTGCACTACTTCCTGCCAGTCTCTCCCCAGCCCCAGTATTTTATGATATTGCCAATCTTTTTTTTCCATCTTGATGGTGAACTTTATATAGGATAAGAACTCTGTTTTCCTCCTTGGTAACCTGAATAAAATCTTCATAGTGTTGACACTCAGGAAATGTACTGGTTGACTGAGTAACCAGGTAATTTCAAAAGAATTATAAACACATTCAGAATATGTTATTCTTCCAGTGAAAACATCAGTCTGTTTGATAAGGTTTTCTCACTTCCTTTTAAGCTATAAGAAAGGAGACTCCTGCATGGGTGAGGTGGTTAGGCTAGACACCTGCTAGAGCTCTTACCATTTTAATGTTGCTAAGTCTTGCCAAAGAAGGAGTCCTGCTAGTGCTTAGTCTACACTGATTATGCTCTTACCATGTGCTGGTCATGGGGCTAAAAGCATTCCTTGAATACCACACTCAATTTTTGCAACAGTCTTGTGAGGTAGATGCTACTGTCCTCAGTTTATAGGGGAAGACATAGGCACCAAGAGGATAAGGAACTTGCCCAAGATTGCCAAGGCTTCTTTTATGGACCGTAAACACAATACCATATCACATCAAAAAAAGTAACAAGTTCTCCTTAATGTCAAGTATCCAAACTGTTGAAAGTTCACTGATTGTTTTACAAATTGCTTTTTCTTTTTCGACTGGTGGTTTGCAAATAATGTGTTTTTTTGTTTGTTTGCAAGAGTAAATTTTACCCTATTTTAAAATGTCTCAGAACAAGTGGATTGTAACCATGACAATGCTGAAGCTGCTACAGGTAACCTTATATTAGAATCTCTGTCTATGCATGATGAAGTTGAGGTAAATGAAGATACATGCTGTCTTTAAGATGAAAACCATAGTGCATTATTGCTTTTTTAAAAAAAGTTTGCATTCTCTACAAAATTAAAAAAAAATTTTCAAAATGATTTCAGAGTCATCAAACTAGAGATGAGATTATTGGGAAATGAAGAAAGGAGTCAGTGGAAAACTACCTACTTAATGTAGAAGAGCTGGAAAATTTTGCACAAAAATGCACTCACTACCAACTGAGCCATAATGCCAGTGACACGCTGTGTTTTTAAGATCACGTTGAAAAAGCAAATTATGGGCCGGCCCGGTGGCGCACTCGGGAGAGTGCGATGCTGGGAGCGCAGTAGCGCTCCTGCCTCGGGTTCAGATCCTATATAGGGATGGCTGGTGTGCTCACTGGCTGAGCGCGGTGCGGGCGACACCAAGCCAAAGGTTGCGATCCCCTTACTGGTCACAAAAAAGAAAAGAAAAAAAAAAAACAAATTATATTGCAAATAAATTTTTTTTTTTAAGCAGAGTGAAGTAGCAAAGTGAAGTTTCTAGATGATACAGCCAGTCAGTAGGCTGACCTGTGACTAGGACCGGGTGCCTTAACTTGGAATTCAGGGCTTGTTTCTTACAGACTGTGTGACATTCAGTGAGAAAATATGAAATTTTGTGCCTTGATTTTAATATTTAGCATTGAAACCAAAAAACAGAAAAATGATAATATTGAGCATTGAGTTATGAACAGGATTTGTCATTTTATTTTATCATAGCTAGCAAAAGAATACTTTTCTTCTGATTAATTTAGGTTAGACAGACTCTCAGATTCCTTGAGTAAAAATTTCCAACAATCAGCCAATAAATAAACATTCAAGAACCATAGGTTTTGTTTTACTTCCATGAATATGGGAGAGGAGTTAAGTACTTTAATAAAGAAAACTTGCAACAATGTATGCCTTTTAGCAAGCAGATGCCACCGTGAATATTGCCAGGGTAACACATTATTAAATAAGACAACCAATTAGAATTACAAACTTTTCAAAGGTTGGAAGTTAATTTCCCAGGCAGTATCAACACATTTTGAGGTTGTGATCTTACAAGACTTCTTGTTGGAAATCATGTTTGCATGAGGAGATTGATGATGCAGAATGAGAGATCTTGATGAGCTTGCTTTCACCAGAAGTTGGAAAGACCTACAGTTTCAAGGCTAAATACTGCAAGTTGGCTCTGGGAAGAAAAAGAACGCCAGAGCTGTTGACACTTATAATATGAAAAGGAACGGGACAAAAGAAAATTTCAACAAGTGGAGTTTAGGCCACATAATATTGTACATCCTCCTGACATAGGGGTGGTATAATTGCTGTGTATCTATCATTTTGGGCAGAATTTTGAGAAAAATGCTGACTTGGATTTTTTTTGTTTGTTTATATAATCCCTGTAAAGAAAATAAGTAGGAATAGTTAGGAAGAATCCCAGAAACATTTGCTATGGCATTAGAATCATCTTCTTTTTATTTAGAAAACAGAACGCTACAGTTAAAAAACAACAACAAAAGTCACTAGTCCCTGGGTAACTGGGATATGGTTCTTTCGAGGCCTCAGTTTCCCAAGTGTTAAGTGAGGCCCCTTTTAGTCTTGTCCATTGTCATTATTCTACTGGTGCCTCCCACTTTTGCACAGACTTTGTTTTCCAGAGTAGTTTCTGAAAACAACCTTGTACTTCACCAAGTCTAACTCTCTGAGGATTAAGAAGCTGGGGCATTTGGAATGGAATGATGCTAGGAACAGCTGCCGTGCACCTGCGAGCACCTATGGGCCTGAACGTGTACCTGTGAGCTTGTGCGTACATCTGGGAGTTTCCCAAGGGCCAAGTGGTGGCCCTTGTGGACTTATCGTACATTTTTCTGTCCCGCTCCCAGAAGGATGTAGAGAAATGTCTGTTTAGCAGCTCTGAACAATAAATTAGCTCTTGTAAGGAGATTCTTTTAAAGTTGGGCATGAGTTAACTGGTTTGAAGGGGATGTGTTGATATAGATGATAGGATTTATAAGGCATGGAGGGAATTATTAGGAGGTTTTCTCTTCCTTGGGTATCTGAGAATTACATTCCCTAATGCAGAAAGGTAATTGAGTCCCTGGCATGTACATGTACAAACAGCCTAAATCAATTTATAAAGGTTAGGTGTGAGTATTTCTATTTTAAAAATCCTCCAAATTACTAAATAAACAGCAAGCACTTAAAAGATATTTGTAAAGAGTGGTTTGTTTGTTAAATCTAGAAGGATCTCATTTTTGTGAATGAATGCATTGGTTTTTCCTATTTTTGGTTTTTGTTTGAAAAAGAATGACCTTTTTCTTCAGGCGCAAATGAAAGATTGGCTTGCCTAGGTTAGAATAGGAAAATGTAGGTGTGACTTGACATGGTGATGAGATCAAACATGTGACAGCAGACTAAAAGGTAGCTGTAGGTAGATTATGACGCTCAGCCTCGTGATGGTAGCCGAGTCCCTATGTCCTGTAAACTGCAAGGAGGGAAAAAGCCCTAATCACATTATGTCCAATTTCTGGCTCTTTGGCGCTTAGGATGCGCTCTCCTCCAGCTTCTGTCTCTGTCCTTTGCACATGGCACTTTAATTGCTGCTTCGTGGTCACCCCTGGTAGGTGGGGGGACTGCTGGTTTATGCTGAGAGTAGTCTGTGACTTTCAGGATACGTGTGTGAAAGGAAGGATTTGCTGGTGAATGGCTGCTGTAACGTCAACGACCCTAGCACAAAGCAGTACTGCTGCGATGGCTGCTTGTCCAACGGCTGCTGCAGCGCCTACGAGTACTGTGTCTCCTGCTGTCTGCAGCCCAACAAGGTACGAGAGCTGCTCCTTATTCCACATCTTCCTCTGTTCTTTCGGCCTTTATCTTATGATGAGCATTAGGCTCTTCATGTGAGGTTCTTTTGAAAATAGAATTTAGAAAGGAACTTTGTAAGTGTCAGAAATGGCTACTATGCAGTAGCCTTTGTCTGCCAGGAAAGTTCCTTGTTACTTGAATGGTTTATTTGCAGAATGGACCATTGTATTGATAATAAGATAGCCAATGAATAAGATACACATCTCTCTTCCTGCCTCCATCTTTTCTCCTTCTATCAGCATTCTCTTAGTTTAGGAGAGATATTCAAGGTTACCTTGTGCTGGCTTAGTCTGAAATTTATTATAGGTACTAACTTTTGTTTCCATAGCAACTTCTCCTAGAGCGCTTCCTCAACAGGGCAGCTGTGGCATTCCAGAACCTCTTCATGGCCGTTGAAGATCACTTCGAATTGTGTTTGGCTAAATGCAGGACCTCATCCCAGGTCAGAAACTGGGGGATGGTGATTGGAGTCAGGGGCTAGAAAAAAACTAGAAAATAATATATACACTGGAGTCCTTTTGGTGGGTGATAATGGAAAAAAAGATTCAAATGAAGTCATGCTTTGTTTGAGTAATGATAATATTTCGAATGTGAATGTGAGATTTATACAAGTTAGGGGAAGTAAAGCATTTATATCAATCAAGATCTGATCAAGTTGCATCTCTCCTGTCTGATTGGTATGTCTGCACTTTAAGTGGGAGCTTAAAATTATTTTTAAGTCTGGATGGAGACTTAATAGTTGAACTCCTAAGAGAAGTTCTCTACTCCCTGTCTTTGACTGAAATTTGACTAAGGCTTTCCAGTCACCACTACTTTAGAATAAGTAGTAATTTGTTCTGGGACAGAGCTGTGGTTTATTTTAGAATTCAAGGGGATGGGGCAGGTGGGTGTTTCAAAATGCAGAAATAAATCTGTAAGTTGTCAAGCTCTCAATCCGTATTAGCATGCTGTCATTAAATGCTTTGGTCTTTGGGCATTAAATATTGCACCTGCTGCTGGAAGCGTCTGAAAGTCTTTTGCCTTTCCATCACTCTGTGTCCTCGGCTCTCAGCTTTTGTGGTTGGGCAATTCTCTTTGTAAAATTCCAGACGTGTTTATTATACAAGCACACTTCTTCTGGCTTCTATTTATGGTTTCTCCAAGATTTTACTGGCTTCGTCTGAGATGACGGACACATTTGTCATTCTCTGGCACTCTTGTACCCTTGGCCAGATTTCTGTAGTCTACCTTTTGATTTTACGCCCCTTTTTATGTATCTGGTTTGTTCTGAGAGCATTCAGTATGATTGGGTAAATGTTTTAGGGATTCTGATGAGCATTTGAAAACATTAAGAAATTCCTGATGGTCTTGTTTTGCTTGAAGAGCTTTCCACTTGAATGGGCTTTAAAGAGAATGTGGGGGATGGCTGAACACATGACTCATTTTGATTCAGATTCTCTCTCATTGTGAGAAATGCTAGAAAAGTCGAAGTCTTTTCTTTCCTTAACTGATAAAACCCAGGAGTTATTTCCAGTTTTTAGTGAAGCTACTATACTTTCTGACTTTGTCTTTTTATTGTAAATAGAGATTTCCCAATTGCCATTCACTGTGTTTTGATAACAGTATCCTAAGGAAGAGAAGATTTGACTGTATGTCTATTACCTTGTGTTAATACTTACAATTTAGCCACTGGTCTTGGACTAATTAATGAACTCTAGCCAAAAACTCACATTGCTTGTAGGAAAACAAATTGATGAAAAATTAGCCACTGGGAATGATTGCAGTAAACCATACTTCCAATTTGCTTAGCCAAATGAGGCTTTCCTGGTATTGTAGGATTTGGCTTGTGTGCCAAACTTTTAGGTACATAAACTTTATGAAAGCAGTTTGAAGTGTGTCACCTTAGTGTCTCTTCAGGGTTCCTTACTAGGAACTAATTTCTTTGAAGCACAGGACCAGGTATACAACACCCGTTGGATCTTATCCTATTTCAAACAATTGTAGAAAAAGTAGTTGTC